CTCTTGTGTTCCACTGTCGTATCTGGTAGTCATTGATCTGCCATTCCTAACAATATCTTATCCCAGCAGCTTTCTGGTCTCAATATGTTTGAAGGCCCATACCCCAATCATTATGTCTTTACTTATCCTTTTATTTATATGAGGGTGCTTATTCTTTCAAATGAACCGTTTTTTTTTTTTAAATCGTTTCGTCTAATTCCAGAAAAAAAATGCATTACACTGGTAAATTTATAATGTCCTCCAACCCAAGAATAATGATTGTCTTTGCAGTTCAAATTTTGGTTTATGACCTTCAGTAAGATTTTACAGTCTATCTCATATAGGTCCTGTAGTTTTCTTGTACATAAATATTTTATGGCTTTCAGCAGCATCACAATGGACCATTTCTGCCTTTTCTTATTTGTAATTATTTACAGCTAATGCAGAGTAGGGTGCTTCCTTATATTTTTCACGAGTCTTTTATTTTTAAGATTTATTTATTTTATTGGAAAGGCAGATTTACAGAGACAAAGAAATACAGAGAGAAAGCTCTCCCATCGGTTAGTTCATTCCCTAAGTGACCACAAAGGCTGCTAAATCAAACCAAAGCCAGGAGCCATGAGATTCTTCTGGGTCTCCCATGCAGAGGATTTTGGGCTGTCCTCTTCTGCTTTCCCAGGCCACAAGCAGGGAGCTAGATTGGAAGTGGATCAGCCAGAACATGAACCATTGCCCATATGGGATCCTGGTGCATGAAGGCAAGGATTTAGCACTAAGCTGTTGCGTTGGGCCCCCCATGAGTCTCTTGGCTTGCTGAGTATTCCAGTTAGTTAGTCATCTTTCTTTTTCAATTCTAAATGATTATTTCATTGTCTTGTCTTCTGTTTTCCTTTCACATCGAATGGTGATAACAGGTATCCCTGCAGGGCTCCTGATTTCAACTGAAAACGTTCAGTGATTGACTAGTTAAGACTATTCACGGCTTCTCTTCCACTCTTCCTTAGCAGTTTTCTTTGGAATGACTGTAAAACGTTTTTCCTATTTCTACTTTTGCTTTAAGTTTTGAGATATATCCTGTACTTCATCCTGGGGGTCACTAATTAAAGCCTCAACAATGACAATTTCCTCCTCAAATTCTTTCAATTTTCTTTTGGGTCAAAAGTCATGGCTCCCTCACACACCTTCTTGGTGCTGTGCTGCTTCGTCCTGGAGGCTACAGTTCGTCCTTCGGCGTCATCACCCAGCAGCGCCTGGCTGTCCCCCTTCACCGTGCAGGCACACATGGTAGTTTCCACTGCCCCGTCTCTGGGACTCAAGTCTAGATGCGTTGGTATCTTAAGGCAGCAGCAGCCTTGTGAACAGTGCCCAGTGGAGTGACTCGGTCTCTGAGGAAGCTGGCAGGTTGCTGACTCCTTGTGGAGTCTCCCTGGTCTCAGGGGCAGAGCAGGGCAATCCTCAACTCTACCTGAAATGGACTCACAGGTGGCTTGGTTCAGATGAGCAAGAGATGTGAGTCAAGGATGGAAGCAGTGACATGATCTCCGTGACACTCTCTCTGAGCTTTCTCTTGATATTGTCCTCTCCCTTTTATTGTGACTACAAATCCCGCTGAGATAAAAGGGTCTGTCTTTGGGAGGAGAAACTGACACCCTTGTTGATTAAAGCAGTGGAGCTCAGTGTTCACATTAGACATTGTTGTTGAGCTTTATAAGTATAATCAAGGAGAAGAACCTGTCCTTTTCACGAGCCACATGGTGACAAGTGATCTTACCAAGGTAAGGCTTTGGCCCAGAGCAGTACACCTGCAGCAGGAAAGGGGCCCCCAAAGACAGCCAGGCTCTGTGCCCCAAGATGTCAAGGACCATGTGGCAGGAGCTGTCCCCGCCATCCCAGCCCTGACATAAACTGGAGGCAGCCTAAGATGTCAAGACCTCCATGACGAGCAGCCATACTGAATTCCCATGCAGAATAGCAATGCCCTCCCTGCCTTGTGGAGGCTATGTTGTGGGTCCGTTCTGGTCCTGCTACCCTGAGGGCTGGTAACCTCACACTGCCCTAGCCTGTGCACCAAATAGTTTGCCAAGGTCAGGCAAATCTCTGAGGCAAGAGGAACAGCTGGGGAGGCCTGTCCCTGGGACCGGCTGAACTGGGGAGCCAGCACCTTGGGCCTGCCTGGAAGACCAGTTCTGCTTCACCCAGTTCTGTGACTCTCTGAAGCTGAGATCAATAATTCAGGCCCTCCAATGGAGGATGAGTTTTTTTCTCTCTCCATCTTGAATAAAATGCATATCATCCATCTGTAAGGGGCCATTGGTTCCTACAGCACCTCTGTCTGGATGTGGCTGCTGTGTCAAGCTGGAGTTCATGGCAGGTACCGTGGGCAGTTCTTGATGCTGGGCCACAGTCTCTAGTCATGTACACCCACTTCTGCTTCTTCATCTTCTAATTGAGCAGTCTCCTTAGAGCCACACTGTCCCTTCACTGGGACATCACAGTGGAGTGGGGTGAGATGGTAGGGATTCAGCCCAGGTGCCTAGCAGCACTAACAGCTTGTGGGGAAAGGCCTAGATTGTGCCTCTACCCTGGGTCTGGAACAGGGTCACCCAAAGACTATGTGAGGGAGAAGATGTGGGTCTCCTCAATTGTCAAGTTGAAGATCAGTTCTCAGTCAGAGTAAAGCTTCGTGTGGTAGGATGCAGCCACAGCTGCACCACTCCACAGTACAAAAGCCAGTGGGCTCCTCCTGGTCTGGGCACATTTGCTGCTGATGCAGGAGAATACCCAATGCTGGGGGGTTCCAGACAGTACAAGTGTGTGTGGCCCACAGTTCCAGAGGCTGGCAAGCCTCTATGGGGTGGGGATGAGATGAGGGGCAGACTAGGGTGAGCTTTGTCCTATCACATCATGGCAAGAAGTCATGTGCATGACAAGCAGAGGTGAGAGCCATTCAGATTCACATTTTATCCTGGGAACCCAATGCCAGGATAGTGAATCCGTTCATCACCTCTCAGAAGTCACACTTCTTTACTTTGGTACAGTGTTGGTTACATTTCAGCATGAGGGGTAAGGGCCCAGCCTGGTGGTCAAGGCCCTGGGGACTCCTGCATCCAGCATAGGTTCTGCATGGCCATGGGGCACGGCCAGGGGGCTCAGGAACAGGGCTGTGACTGGGTCCGCACCCAGCTGCACAACTTCTCTGGGCACTGCACAGCACAGAGAAGTTAATTAAACAGCAAACCAGTGGCAGTGCTCCATGTCCCGGCCCTGTCTTGGGAGAAAAACAAAAGCTGATATTTTTAAAGCTGTGTTAGTTTCTTCCAGTGGCCGCCAGCATTTTCTCCACTAACCGTTTTTCAACAACCCAGGAGAATGGTGCTGATTAAATGCACTTGGTGGCAGAGGGGCCGTAAACACCCCAAGTGGGGGCCTCCATCCCAGAGCCTTGCCTGCCAAGCACCTGCCTCCAGCTCCCTTCTGCAGAGTGGCCACTGGCTGCCACCCAGCCCTTGCTGCCCTGCTAGTGACACTTGCATCCACAGAGCAGATCAGGCATGCCACATGACCTGCTGAGGGTCTGCACTTTTATGCAGCTCAAAGAGATTCTGACCTTCTAGTTTATTATGATTCCAGAAAATGTCAATATTTCTTAGCTTGCCAGATCTAGAAGAATTTAAATGAGTTATTGAATCAGGTTGTTAATCTGCCGATAACGGATTTCTTTTTTCTTTTCAAATTTATAATGATGAAATGCAGACTTAACTGGAAACAAGAAAGGAGAATCTTTTCTTGCTTAGACATTTTAATCCCATGAGGTGGGAGCCACAGGGCTGACAGTTGTGTCTTGGCAACCGGGGCCATTCTGTCCTGCTAAGTATTTTGAAGAAGATTTAATTAAAACGTCAAGCAAAGACTTCTGTGGCCAGCGTATCTGCATGTGTGTTTTCATGATCTATAATTTGATATTCCTCTGTAATTCCCAACTCTTGGCTTTGATGACACATAATAACTGTGTAGTTTTCAGGGCCTTGATGGGTTGTGAACACCTGGCTGACTTACGTGTGCTCCTGCAATGTGTGAGCTCTGGGCACCACTGTCTGAAGTCACAGAGGTGTGCTCTGGTGACAGGGGACGCCCTGGCATCTCAGCCTTCCTGCCCCTGCCTTTAGTGAGGGACTAGAAAGGCATGGACCATGGACACATGTGACCATGTGTTCCCCAGAGGGAAACACAACCTCTGCCTCCCCTTCCCCTTTCTAAACTTTTAGGATCTCACTTCTGTCCTAGGCCACATTTCCTCTCATGACTCTGCACCCGCTCTCCACAGCCTAAGTTCCTCTGCTTGGCTAAGTCTCCTGGAATCGTGTCTTGCCCCCTCCCCACATTTCCTCTCACCCCTGTTCAGAATTCCCACTCCTGTCAGGTGTCTAACCGAGGCACTTGGGCCAAGGGACTCCACGTGCTGTGGCTCAGGGAGAGCCTCTCAGCCCCAGGCTGCGAGCTGCCTTCCCTGGGGGCCTGAACTGTGGACCTTGTCACTTCCAGGCTCAGAGTCATACATGCACATATGTCACAGAAAAAGGCAGTCAGGACATGTTCTTTTGGGGGTTCCTGTGGTGCCTAACACAGCCTGGGCCAAAGTCATCACATAACAGGGGGAATGATGGAGAGAGAATGGAAGGAACTGCTTCTTTTAAACGATATTGGTTTCTGGAGCATCCGGTCTGGATGTTGTCTCAGAGCCTAGACACAATGCTGGGGGCTTTGCTGTGCTGTATAAGGTGCTTTTTAGTGAACGTAGAAGGGCTGAGTGTTCCCATCTCCCATCCAGAGTCCACCTTAAAACCAGAGCCCTGCTGCCTCTTTTTGGGGGGTGGCGGGGTCAGGGACTCTGTTGGGCACCCTGAGCCCCAGACACCACCTCTGGCAAGCTTGTCTTCACAGCTGGGTGGAGTCACAAAGGCAACCTCTGTCCTCTGCCCCTCCACCTTGGCAGCTGACACTCTTTTCTTTGTACCTGGCAGGGCTTTCCAGCCATGGTGGGCTGCTGGCCTCCTGTGGGAAGAAGTTCTGCAGCCGCGGGAGCCGGTGCGTGTTCAGCCAGGCCACGGGAGAGGCTGAGTGCCGCTGCCTGGAGGCGTGCAGGCCCAGCTACCTGCCAGTGTGCGGCTCCGACGGCCGGTTTTACGAGAACCACTGTGAGCTGCACCGTGCCGCCTGCCTGCAGGGGAAGAAGCTGTCCATCACCCACAGCAAGAACTGCTTCCTCCAAGGTAGGGCAGGCTCCTGGCCCCTGCACCTCTGGGCTCTGGCATCCATATCTTCGTGTCTGTGACCCAGTGTGGAATCCATGAGGTTAGATGGCTAGAGGAAGTCAAGATTGGAAATGGCCTCACTGGAGAGAAGTGGCAGCAGTGGCATTTCAGTGATGTGTGTTCTCAAAATGCTTGCTCTCCTGAGTCCCTCTGCTATTGGAGGAGCTCCTTGGAGGGCAGAATCCTGGGGTGCTAAACTGGAACAGGTGCAGTGTGAGTCTCCAAGAGGGACCAGACCCATGAAGACTGAGCTGGGGGCATGGGCAATGAGGCCAGGGTGTACTGCGATGCAGGGCAGGGCAGGGAGGTGAGGAGAAGGCAGGGGACAGAGGTCTGTTGTGTGCCTGTGCCCCTGGTGCACCAGGACTTCTGCGCCATCTGCATGGTGAGGGGACGGGCTCTGAGAAGCCAGCACCAAGCTGCTGCCTCTCCATCACAGGCCCCCCAGCCTAAGGCTGCTGTGACGTGTCACCCACATGTGGGTGGCAGTATTCACAGCCAAGGTGGGAGCACAAGAGTGCTGGCCTCTACTGCCTCAGCCCATGATATGGTGGTCACAGCAGCCTGGGATCCTAGAGCAGATGGGCTCTGGGACAGGTGTGCTTGGCTTCAAAAGCAATGGTCCTGGGTGTTTTTATAGCTAAGCTCATGATACCAGCAGTATTGCACTTCAGAAATTCTGAGACGTGTGGTGGAAAAGCCAAGATGTGTAAGCAGAAATGGCCGTGTCTGCAGGCGCTGCCCTGAATGCACCTGCCCTGCTCTCCAGCACTGGGTGTACTGATGCTTGCCTGGTCACTCCAGGTTTATCAGCCGTGTTGGATTTTATAGACTGATGTTCCATTCTCTGGTTTCCAACCTGCCGCAAATTGCGTCTTTCTGAAGGTTTTATCTCTGCATCAGACTGCGCACTGCCTCCCTCTCCCTGAGTTATTTAGCAGCGTTTCTCATCATTTCACACGAGGGCAGAAAGGACTCTACTAGACCTGTGTGAGGGAAGGAGGAGGATAGGTCAAAACACAAGCGAAGGCGGGTGGCCTTGGGCAGATGAGGGTTCAGTTTCGTTTCTTGCTGGCTACATTTTCCCACTGAATCCTTCTGACTTGTTGAGATTTTTGCAGGTCTTGTGAATTCTCACCCCCTCAGTGTGGTCGAACTATTCGGCCAAAGATCACCTTTCCGGGGGGGGGGAGCAGTGCCTGGTACTCCACCAAAGACCTAAGGATGTCCAAGTGCTCTAGAGGACTCTGGTACTTCCTGGCTGTGTAGCCCTGGGCCTTTGCTTACTTTAGCTATGGAGAGACAACTGGTCTAAGGAAACACCCCTTAGCCCAGAGCCTGGCAGGGTACAGGTGCTGGGAGCTTGTGACACCTGCTGTTGTGGTTGGTTGTGGCCAAATGTGGCCATAGGCCTGGAGCAGAGGATCTGTCCAGGAGGAAAGCGGCACATTGCTGGGCCCAATGGCTTAGGTAGAAGAAGAGGAGGTATGCATGGCACTGAATGTGAGCTCCTATGGCTGTCCTGAAAACATTCATCTGGAGTAAGGGTAGGCACTGCCTGAGACAACTCCAGAGCCTGCTGCTGGGGTCAGCTCCACTCCTGGCAGACAGGAGATAGGCCAGGCTATCTCCACTTCTGGCATTCCTGCAGATATGCCACACAAGCAGAAGTCAGGCACTGAGCAGCAGGGGCCCGACAGGGAGGAGGGCAGCCCTACCATTATGGGTGGGAGGCGTGGCAAGGGGAGTTCTTCACCCTCACCAGAACACAACCATGGCCCAGCAGGCAACAGACAGAAACCAATAGTGGTGGCTGTGTTGGGGTAAGGGAGGAATGGGATTTTGGAAGAAAGGGGAGGGGTGTGAAGGTCAACTTCCTAACCAGTGCCCAGCACAACTGGCAGCAGAATATTTAATGCCAGACTGGGCTCCACTGGGGACAATTTGTCATCTGTCCCAAATTTTTCAGAGGCTTACTAATACAGCAAACGTAACAGTCATCTTTCCCCCTATGCAAACCACAATCCTATAGCTATCCACCTCCCATTCTCTATTCCTCCCAGACTTTACAAAAAGAAGTTATGACTTAAATCTCTGCAACTCTGTCTATCCTTAGAAGCCACTAGTGGACAATCTTCATGACAATAGTGTGTGTGGAGCCAGAGGGAATGAGGGGACACATTGCACTGGGTGGAGCCCAGAGGCCAGAGCTTCTGTTGTGGGGAGGCAGAGGGGCAAGGCCCACAGCCCTCCCTGCTCCGTAAGAGGACTCAATGTCCCTTTTATGAGAAAACTTCTGGAATCGCATTCCAGTTGCTATGGTAGGAGGACTCCTTGCAAATGCAGAATGCAATTTCTGCTGCCTAAGGCTCATTAGCATGTACAGAACAGCTGAACTCCAAAGCATTGTTTCAGCTGCAGTCTGTAACTTTGATCCCTGCTCTGAAGCCAGACAGGGCTTTGTCCGCAGAAGTTGGGTGTGAGGAGAGGAAGAGGAGAAATGCTGCGTCTGTTTCTCATTGTGGCTAGGCTGGACTTCCATCATCCTCAGAGCCTTACGTTACCAGGAGAGCACTAGGGAGCACCACAACGTTGGGCAGCCAGGAGTTTGTGTCCTAGAAGTCACCATACAATACTGTGTTCCTGCCTGTGTGGCAGCTGGCGTGCTGACTTTCCTAAATTGGTTTTGGGTTCGTGCTTTGTCTCAAATGCTATTTGGAAAGTGGGGCTGGCCATGCCTGTGTTCAGCCTATTGTTTCATGTAGACCAATACAGTGGTCTAAACAAGCCAGGGCTGGAGGGGAGAAAGGAACCAAGCAAGAGGTTCAGCTTCCAGGGGCTTCTTAGCTGTTGCAGTGGCCTCTGCAAGGGCTCCTGCGTGGCCCCAATGGGAGTCCCCAGCTAATGGAAACAGAGGAAATCATTTCCACCTTCAGATTGGAAGCAAAACATTCCACAGGCCACAGATGAATCTTTTTTTTCCCCTTCAAGTGTTACTAAGCAAGCATAAAAGCTCAGCATCTTGTTACAAGTTAGCAGAGCACATGGCACCTGCTGGGAAGAGACACCATTTTCTTTTTCCTGCTTTTTAGGTTGTTGCTGTTGCTGTCACTTTGAACTTTGTTGCCTTAGGAACTTGCATTAGGCTCTCTACTTCCCCTGGGGGTGTTTCTGGACTCCTACCGGAGAAAGTCACTCACCCTCCTGGGCTGTGCCAGCCTGGCCATCTCAGCAGGGGATTCCATTTGCCTGGCAAGTGTGAGGCCTGCTTCACTGCTGTGCTGTTGGCTGGTGTTGAGGAGGGATGGGGAGAGGGAAGGGGAGGATTCTGCCTGGGCTAGCCCTATAGCAGGGGGTTGCTGGAGTCTGAATAACACAGAGAGACCCAGGTCAATAGGAGAGAGAGTCAGTCAAGCTTCCTTGATCAGGATACACACTCTCTCTAGGTCTCACGTGTTATGCAAAATGGAAATAGGAAAGGAGCTACAGGCGGAGCCAGGTGAGTGTGAAATGAGCAGCGCCTGATGCATGGTGGGCACTCTTCTCAGCTGTCCCAATAGCACGTGCAATGATCACTTCATCACACACATCAGCAGTATTCTAGGGCAGAGGCATGAGGCTGGCAGACCCCTACCTGTTTTGTGGGATGACATTGTCTGTAAGGTCACAGAGGCAGATCTCCTTGTGATTGGCAGGGAGGGAAGAACACGGGTCCTCCATATCCATTTTGTGAACATGTAGAACCTGATCCACAGCTGCCCAGTTCGACACCTTCAGCCGTCTTGATGTTTGAATGAAAACAATGAGATCTACCCGGGCGATCATAGAGAAGATATGGGGAGAGCTGAGCATCCCTACTTCCCAGCCTGGAATGAGTTACTGGAAGGCTGTCAGGGTAGGAGAGGTACGTTCTGAGAAGTTCTGAGGAGAGGAGATGTTCCAAATGGACCTTAAGGGATAAGGCAGCGTTTGCCAGGTTCAAAGGAGGGCACAATTTTCCAGGGGTTCAACGTAAGGGTGGAAAAAGGGATCAAGAGTGGGTCCTGGGAGAGACTGGAGTGAAGTAAGATAGTGGGCAGAGCAAGCTGGGGAGGCTTTGCGTGGCAAGCCAGGAACAGGTTCAGCTTGCTTCTCCTCCTCAGGTGACCCTGGGGCCATGGGCAAAGCCAAACCCAGGGCCTGGGCTCTAGGCTGAGGCAGTGCCAGCCCAGGATCCTAGTAGACATCTTTGCTCCATCCTTGGTTCTGAGTCATGGGAGTGGAAGGAGCTCAGGCACTGTCACTTCTGCAGCTCAGCAGGAAACCCAGCTGGAATCTCCAGGGAAAGCTGATTCCAGCATTGCAAATTCATGGGGACACTGGACATTGAGAAGACCAGAGTACATTCTTCCCTCAAAGGAAAGAATAGGAAGCTCCCAGAGGCTGCCAGGATGGCCTGCAGTGGAGAGCAGCCATGGCATCCAAGCTGAGCCCTGCCTTGGCCTATCTGACTTGCAGAGCCAGCCCTTCTTACTCTCCAGGTTCTCTGTCTTGTTCTCCCAGGCACTCTGTCATGCCCAACCCCATCCACACTGTTGTCCACAAATGCTGTTGCTCCTCTGATCCTGCAAAGCAGTCTCTGTAACTGGCCCCTTCCCAGCAGACACGTGAGCTCCCTTGGCATGGGTCTGGCTGCTTATTGAACATCCACTGGAGACCAAGGCCGCACCAGGATGTGAACCCCAGGGTAATCAGGACAGCCCTGGACTAGGATAAAGCAGGCTCCGGGCCCTAGGATGCTCTCCCTTGGGTCATTAATGTTTCTTTAGCCAGAGACATCCCCTGAGACCTCAAGGACAAGTAGTGATGCCTACCGCCACCAGCAGCCTCAGGGTCTACTACATGTCCCCACAGAGCCCCACCTGCTGCCCTCCTGCACCCCTTGGTGCTCAGAGGTTCCATTTATAATATCTGCCTCC